TATCTCTCGAGGGGAGTTACCTGAATTGATCCGCAATGGCAAATACAACTGCACTGGGCGGGCTATAGCAACAGCGTGCCGCATAAACACGTTGCATTAGGACCAGCTTGACCGTGCCTATCGTGACTGCAAGTTGGCAGAGTTCCTGCAGGCCGCTGTAATTCGCAACACCAACCAAGTTCGTGCTGCCTCTGGTGAGGCACTCGAGACCACCCAGGTTGGCGTGATGGTGTCCCTCTGCCGGAAGTAATTTGTGCCTAGGCTGTCTGGCGTGGGTTTTAGTATTATATGGAGGGAGGGCACACTTGCCCAGGATTTTATAGAGTTAGATCCTAGGTTGCTAGCTTTTTGCAATTCTATGCTCACTATTTACGTTATTCTCCCTATAATGCAGTGCATAGGTAGCCTTATACTATCCTAGTCATCTTGATCTCAGAGATCTTGTTGGAGACTAGTAGTAAGGGGATTCATACTAATACACTACTATGCCTTGCCTCTTGCGGTAGTGATCACTCTGAGTTTTCCAGATCCGTTCGCGCCAATCGAAGAATCTCCTTCATTCGAGAATACAATGTCTTGTCCTCATTCTCCCACGGTTTATCCATTGGGAAGACTGCCTGTCGCAGCCTATTCACATATGGAATCAACGGCTGGTAGTATGGCGTGAAGGCTTTCGTGATCCGATTAAGAAAATGTCTTTCCCTACTCACAAGCCCTGACTTCAATTCCGCCAATTCCTCCATGTTCACATAATTCCACTTCTCAAACTCCGTCGCCCTAACATCTTTGGCTGGTCCATCATAATGAATGCATATCCAGAAGAGGACCCAGAAGAACGATTCGAGATCGTGCATGAACGAATGCTTCTCTTCGTCGAGAAGCACCCCAATTGCCATGAACGCTCGCGTGCCCGTCTTCCCTCGCGCTCCTGACGGTTCCTCGCGATTCTCCTTAACCGCAAGATCAAGATCAATTAGAAACGCGGGCCAAGAGGGATTATCGTCTTCCTCGTTAATCAAGAGGTTGTTCAGTGAGATATCGCATTGTAGCATGTTAGCCTGTATGTGTAACGACTCGTATCCGTTAATACAGCCTTCTAACTGCGCTAGAAGGCTGACTATTGAACTGGTCTTGTAAATAGGTTTCCCGTAGTCGCGAACAACAACACGGCGGTGGACTCGATTCGCCACAGCATGCTTTATTGGGGAGCCTGAGCAAGTGCGCTTACTAGGCGGTAATGGCAGTGCTGTGCAGCTTAAGGATCGCTTCCGCCCGCTAGTGTTGCTGCTGCTTCTGTCTCTCCGCGAGGCCCGTTGTCCGGTCGTGCTTAGTGGCGGCATTGACTTTTCTAGCTTGTAGTTCGTTGCCTTGGTTATATCCAGGCCTTTCCGTACATTTGCGCGGATGTCGTCGTCTTGACTGCCTACACTAACTGTCTCATGGTGGAAGTACCTAGCAACATTTATCACCCCCTTCTTAGTTGCCTCGCGTAACAATTCGCCTTCCTCTTCGCGCTCTAGATACTGCCATGAATCCTTAACAACAAGCGGCGTGTTAGGATCTTCTTCTTTATAAACTTTCCAGCAGGTCGTTGCTCGACCAGCGACGCAAGGCACCCGTTTTATCAACCTATCAATAACGAGGCGCTCTTTCCTATTCTCCCGCTTAATCTCAATGTACCGCTTGTCTCTAACTATAATAATCGTCGGATCGAACCCTAGCTGTTCCTCGCTCATCCAGAGAAAGCCAAGCATTGCAGACACAAACTGCAATCCATCTTCGTTTATGTCAAACTGCTCGGAAGCGATACCTCCAAGTCGGTCGAATGTCCATAGCCGCATAAAGGGTCCACAGAGAGTGAAGCCAACAACAAAGCGGCGGCTGTCTTAAGCAGCGAGCACCTCCCTCGCATATCTACCAAGATCGAGCCATGCCTTAGACGCTTTGTCAGCTGACGGATTGCTCTTAAGCTCCCTAGGTATCAGAATCTGTGACCATCGACACTTTAAGTTCACGCCGGCGTTTAGATCGTCCACAAAGCCAATGTCCAGCTTGCGATCGGCAGTGGAGCCTTGCAGAGGCTGATTTGGCTGTGCCAGTAGTCGCCGCCGAACTCTAGATTCCAGCTGATGCCCTTCTGTGAGGTCCAACAGCCGGTCTGTGAGCGGGGCAAACCAGTTTAAAACATCCTTTTCTTTCGCCCCTTCAGGCCAGCCTTGCCAACCGCTCGCCAACCGGTAGAGTGGTTTATCTCCTTCCTGGCACTTGTCGAACACAGCCTGTGCCGCAGGTCTCAGACCTGGCACATCTCTGAAGAACGCGTCGAAGAAGCCAGGTATGCCAACGTATAGGTGTCCAAGCTCTTCCTTCAGCACATTGTCTACGTGTTTGCGGTGCTCGGCTGAGTTCGCGAAGCTGCCCGTGTTGCTGGACAGGGGTGTTTGTGGGAAGGACGAGGTAGGGCGGGGTGGAGGCGTTGATTTGGTGACGGCATTGTAGACTGCATCCCAGACAAATTCGTCAGGCTGAAGTGTGAGGATCGCGTCAAGCAGAGGTCGTACTCGGTCAGCGTCGAAACCGTCAGAACCGACTGCGGCATTAAGCCGTAAGAGGTCGTGGAAGAGACTTTTACTCCCATTCTTGGATTGTAGGAGTCGAGCGGCAGGAAGGGCCTGCAAGGCAGATATAAGAGTAACCAGCAGGTCTTGGGTATCTGAAATGGCGTTAGAACTACGCAGTAAAGATAGTCAGGTTGTACTACCTTCATAACCCACCTGATCAAGCGCTTGCGAGGAGTTAGGGACGCCTATGTCATCGCATATCGAATTGAAGGTATTGCGGAAGCCATCTAATCCTTCACCTATCGGTTTAGACCGTATGACCTGCGACCGCGATTGCGTAGACATTCTCGAAGGGGCATATAAGTCGCTAAAAAATGCTACAGCGCCCGTCGCGCACACAGCCACTCGCAATCCTACGTGACCCAGAGAGGGCGAAATAAGACTAGGAGTGATGAAGAGAAACGTGCGATGTAGGGTAGCGATGGCGAGAGAAGGTAGCGATGGCGAGAGAAGGTAGCGATGGCGAGAGAAGGTAGCGGCTGCGCGCGACAACGCGCGGGCCCAAGGAGGCTGGCTCGGCGCCACGTCGGTACCCCAAGATGTTGATTGGTCTGTGCGTCAAAGGCAAGTTTGCAACACTATCTTTATCTCATTCATCAGAACGCTCTAAATGTTGTCGCGATAACAAGACCCTGTTAGCTGTCTTTAGGCTCCTAAGTTGCAATAACGACCCTAACAGCTTAATATCGCTGCTCGCGCACTGTCCGTAGCAGCTTCTCCGTGAAGGCTTTAGCTGCACCACTACCTTGCGTCATGTAGTTATGTGCTTCGTCTAGCGCGACAATCTTTCTGCACTGTCTGCTGAATGAATACGGAGAGGCATATGTCGAAAAGTGCGCAGGCGGAATCTGCGTCGATAATAGGGTCCTATATAAATGTTTCAATAAAAATAACGTGATCTACCACCAAGCGCCCACCCCCACCGAGCGCCTACTAACACTAAAATTCACCACCTAACGAATGCTAGGGGGCTGTATATGTGCGCGAAGTACACAATCAGAGAATTCATACATACCTCCACACTCACGCGTGTACTGCGACTTGTTCTCGCTGCATCCGCTTGATTTGCACATGCTGCTATGGTACTTTGCTCCGTCAGTTCTCGAAGCGTGTCGTAAAGCTCGCTAGAGCGAAGGTTGATGCTGAGAGATTGTTTATTTAATCTCATACTCTCAGCATCCAGCTGGTTGCGGTCTTTAGTAAGGCTGTTGCTCTCGGCACTCAACTGGTATTCGTCTTTGCTGATCTTGTAGCTCTCCGCTGTGAGGCGGTTGTGCTCTAAACTTAAGATTCGGCCAAGCTGCGCGGCTGTTAATGGTATCCGATACAGGCGTAGGACTCTCACATACGTGGATTGTGAATCGCTGACAGGAATCATCAAGAGATTTTAGTATGTCATAGAGATCTGTCAGCTTCTCGAAGGTCCCTTTGATACTGTTGTGTGTTCTGCCGCAGTCGGAAAGGTCGGAAAAGTATGCCATATCCCCACCTGGCTCGGCGAAACGTTTGTATGCTCTCAGTGTGAGCGACAGGGAGTCTCGAAGTTGCCGTAAAAGCTGCATAGTCTGAACAATCCAGTCAAGCGATCTCTTGATATCTTTAGAATCTAGGTTTGCCTGAGCAATACTCTTGTTGCACGGATCATTCGCTCTCTACTCGCCAGTTAGTTGCATGTCGTTAGATTCTTCTGGGAAGTAGTTACCCATTTAGTGATTGCTTCCTCGACTGTGCGAACTAGGTAAGTCCACTCTTTCAAGATCAGTTCGCATCGTATACCCACGACCTGTAGCCAGTACTTTCGCGCATCCCATGTCGTATCGTCTGCGTCTTTGATATAGTCGTCATCACGGTCCGCAGCGAACAAGTCGTGTGTCGGCTCATCTTCTACTTGCGATACGAAGGAGGTCAATGGAAGACCTGTATTGGCGAATGCGTATCCCGTCCATTGGGTGTCGCTCCACCCACACACCGTTACGCTAATATGCGATTGATAAATGAGATATCTTGGAGCTTCTTCTGGAGAGTTGGCATCCTCAAGAAAAGTCAAATCAGCCACTGGATCATTCTTCTCGGTTCCGTTATCTGTGCCACCCACCGGTGGAGCTGGTGCCTTTCTTAGAATAAGATGGGCAACGTGGAACTCGAGGCGAAACGTGTTCAAGCTACCCCTTGGGAGATGTACACGAAAAGAGGTTTCTAAAGCGACATGCTTGTACATGGCATCGCGGATAGCTTCAATCTGGTGGCCCCAAGCTGTCTCGGCTAGCGCACGCACGAACTCTGGTGTGATCTTTGATATATATATCAAGCGTCGGTCCACATTTGCTCAGCCAGCGAGTCCATATCGTTGCTCTAGTAGCTTGTCCCGCAATTCTTGTGCGTTGAGGCCTGTTGGGTAGGATCGACTGCGTCCGCTTGGGTATTCACGATCGTCCATCCAGGCCCAAGGTTCAATTTGACGCGTTCTTGTAGAGTCATGCCTCTGCGTGTCAAAGAAAGCTTGCACTACATTGGTCTCCCAAGAAGGTATCGAGCCATCCAAGTCACCTAACAAGGTGTCCAGGATGTCATTGGATTCTTCAATTGCAACAACCCCGTCATCTTCGATGGCATCTGAATTGGATGTACCATCCTCGTCCGAATCATTCTGTCGAGCTTGACACAACGGTTGATCTCCGATCACGCGTGACACATAAAATTCTGGGACCAGTGCTTTCCGTCTTTCTTGCGAAGCCCTCTCTTGGTACTCTTACGACGAAACTCTGCTCTGCGAGGAGAACGACCAGCATTACGGCTGAAAGCGTCCCGGTGTGAAGGAAGAGAGGGTGATGTGGATGTTGCAATCTAGTGCATGCTCAGCATTATGTTCGATGTGACAATGACAGTGACGTTTGACGTGGTCTATCCAAGTGCAGGGCCATGATTGGACATACCATAATGAATTGATATTTACAGGTCGGTAGTAATGGGTTGTCTACAGATCAGTAAGATGTGTTCGCGAATATAAATCTTGGACAAAAAAAGAGATACTAATTCTCTGGCGTCGGACCCAAAGACAATGAAATGAATGCTGCGTAGATGAAGATGTTCGTATGCATCCATAGACCTGGCCGAGCCCTGTATTATATTATAACGTTCGATCACGCTCGTAACGTCGGCGCTTATGGTCCAATGCATATTGAGACAGCCAGTGATGACAGGATTAAGACGACAGTGGAGTCAGTTTTGCTTTTTTTGCTCCAATTCTCGAATGAGGATGGACTTTGTGTGGGGCCTGCTTTCTGTTGCCATGTTGCTGGTATGTCGGCGTCTCGCTGGAGCGAGTCAGTCTTCCAACAGCTGAATCTTGAGTGCCATCGGTCCTTTTTTAGACGGATTCTAGAATCAGCTTTGCAATTGACGCATCTCGTTCCCTGTCTAACTGTTTGATTGGATGCTGGCTATTCTTCAACAAGCTGTCGATCTGTATCAGGAAGGTCGAAGTTGTGGATGGTGTTGCGGGGACAAAGATGTACCGTAGGGTGTGACAAGGACGACCCATGCCAACGACGTTCGTCATCGCAGCCAAAGCTCAAGCTTCCGTACCGTGTTGTCCACAGCACAACACCCCTCTTCCCATACACAATTGAAGCTATTTAGCTTCCACCTATATCGACAATGATACTAAGAACGTATCCCCTCCTCTCGCTTGCCCTCGGCACTCTGGCAGCAACAACATCCCACCTTCAAAATGACGCACCCATCCATCTCACCACTCTCGACCCAGAAACCTCCACAGAGCTCCTCCATCTGCACCGCTCCCTCGTCGAGATAGAATCTATAACTTCAAATGAACGGGACGTAGGCCAATGGCTAACATCCTACCTCCGCAACTCCTCCTGGACGGTCGAGCGCCAGCAAGTCTCAGAGAACCGGTACAATTTACTCGCGTACGGCAAGAAGCGCGAAACCACCCTTCTCCTTACCTCGCACATTGATACTGTCCCGCCATACTGGCCATACTACTACAACAAGACCACAGACGTTATCGGCGGACGTGGTAGTGTCGATGCAAAGGGTAGCGTCGCGGCCATGATAATGGCCACCACGGGCCTAAAAGGGCAACTACAAGACGACATATCGCTGCTCTTCGTAGTAGGCGAAGAAACAGGCGGTGACGGCATGCGCGCATTCAGCTCCTGGAACAAGCGCCCCAGTTCCCACGAAATCATCATCTTCGGCGAACCCACCGAGGCGAAACTTGTCTGTGGCCACAAAGGCATGCTCGGCTTCAAACTCCAGGCCACGGGCAAAGCTGCGCATTCAGGCTACCCATGGCTGGGCGTTAGTGCAAACGATGTGCTCGTCGAGGCGCTGGGAGCCCTGTTGGAGCTGCGTCAACATCTTCCCTGGAGCGACAAGTACGGCAACACGACCATGAACTTTGGACGGATCGAGGGCGGCGTCGCTGCAAATGTAGTCGCAGAGACAGCGAGTGCGAATATTGCGACCAGACTTGCAGCCAGCACCCCAGACCTCGTCCGCGAACAAATCGTCAACGCCCTGAAAGACGTAACTGCCGCTGCGCAAAAAGCCGGCGGGGACCTGCAGGTCGTGTGGGGCAGCGAGGGCTACGCGCCTGTGGATATCGATTGCGATATTGATGGCTTTGACACGCTAACTGTGAATTACGGGACCGATGTACCGCTGCTAAGTGGCTCGCACAAGCGATATCTCTATGGTCCTGGCAGCATCTTCGTTGCGCATAGCGACCACGAAGCGCTCAAGCGCGCGGAACTCGAACAAGCGGTGCTGGATTATCGGCGGTTGATTATCAAGGCGAGCGAGGTGCATCAGAAGGACAGGATGGGTCAAGGGCCTCCAGGACAGCAGATTGAATTGTAGATGCCAACTTAGATGTTTAATCTGTGTATATACGTATATCAATCTACAACACATGAACAAATCCACCCCCATCTCCCCCTCAAAGAGCCAAAACATTGTACCCCCACGCTTAGTCCACCAGGAGAATAATCTCACTCAAGTCATTTCCAAAGAAACAACACCAGGCAGGTCTGAAAAAGCAGGGATTTCCCCCCCTAAAAGCAAAAAGAAGATCAACTCATCCGCACAAGTCAAGACCAGCGCAAGCAAAAGCGCAAGCGAAATCGAAATCCAGGGAGGAAGAAAAAGACAGAAAGTCCACACCCAAGACATCTCCCCAAAGCCCCAGCACTAGCAGCCGAGATGGTGGAAAAACTGGGTGCATGACTTTCTCTCCCTCACCCTTTCCCCGGTCCTTTCTCACTCACACCTGCTCACACTCCCAACTCCCATCGTATGAGGATCTCCTCTCCCTCCAGAAAGTTCTCTGCTCTTGCGCATTCCGTCGTTGCGGTGGCGACGACGAGACCGTCGCAGCCATTGGGCGGGGGCTGGACGGTCTGGAAGGTCTGTTCTGTGCGCTGGGTTTTGTGTGGGAGGAAGACGGAGGGAGGATGTGGGTGGAGGGTTTTGGAGTTGGGGTGGGTTGGGGGGACGTGCGTGGGCTAGCGTGGTTGGGGGAGTAGGAGGTTGGTGCGGTGGGTGAGGGGAGGGAAGGTGAAGTGGGAAGATTGGACGTTGATTATTTACATTTTTTTGGGGGGGCAGAGGAGCTAGGATAATGGGGGTTTGTTGGTGCTCATGAGCAGAGCATGGAGCATGAAAAAAGGCCAACGCCGATTTGATGCTGGAGCTAAGAGTCTATCGTACATTCATCATACATACCTGATCATCCAGATTCACAAACATCTTGTTTTACTAGCAGTGGAAGAATCTTCTCACTGTTCCTCTCCGCCTGCTTGTTCCGAGCTTGCCGCCGTCATACCCAAATCCCTCAAGTTCCAGCCGTGACTCTCTTTGACCCAGTCCTTCTTCTCGCCCAGTACAACAGTCCTCGCATTCGCCGCGCCCTCGACCAAGTACTTTTGCGCAACTTGCCGGACTTGGAGAGTCGTTGTGTCGAGAAGACGTTCCCTCCTGGTCTGCCACATCTCGTCCGTGATGCCGTTCAAGAAGACTCGCATTCCCTCACTGCTCACACTCTGCGGCGCATCCAGGGACTGGAAAACACTCAACTTGGCCTCTTCCAGATCCCGATTTGTCCATGCCCAATCGCGCGCCCATGTTCCAGCGTCAGCCATGATCTTCAGGCTGTTTAGGGGATTTGGATCACGGTACGAGTACATGCCGAAGACGCCGCTGAGACCGCGCGCGTAGGCCCCACCGCCGTAGGCCCCGCCTTTCTCGCGAATTTCAGGGTGCAGCTGCTTGAAGGTAAGCATTTTGGCGAGGATCTCAAGAGGCCCGCTGAGCTCGTCATTGTAAGCTACTGTTCGGTATGCCTGGGCGGAGTAGTAGACTTGGTAGGGAAGGGGGAAGAAAGTCTTGGTGCCACGGGGGAACGTTTGCTGCTCTCCAATCTTGAAGCTGGGCACTTCCTTTGGTAGGGTGTGGAGGAATCTGCGGAGCGCCTCTTGGTTGGAGGTGGCGGATTCGGGACCGCAATTGATGGCAACGCGGAAGTTGCATCTGTTGGCTATAGCGAAGCCCTGAATGGCCTTGAGCTTGGACATTACGTCGGCGAGAGATTCTTGAGATGCGAGACTGGTCATAAGTTTGACTTGTGTGAGACCGCTGGTCTGCTCAATGAGGCCTCCATGTCCCACGGTTGCTTCCGCATACCGCATCGCATAAGAGTGGCCAGATTCGGCAATGGAGTTGATAGCACCGCTTGCCGAGCTTTGAAGGAGCTCGCGAACCTTCTTCTCCGCTTCAGGCCCGTCAAAATTCGTCTCTTGAATAATCATTCGGAGGAGCTCGTACAAGTCGGGAACATTCCGGTCGAATGCGTAACCTGAAAAAACGAAACCCTCCGACAGTTTGTTGAGCCGATTAGGCGACTGAGAGCAGTGATAGGCTACAGAGATACCCCCCGTCTTTAATTTGATCTGCTCCTCGAGCTGCTCCATGGTCTTATCCTTGGTTCCGAGACGCATGATGGCGCTTGTGAATAGTGGGATCATGACTCGAAGCTCATCTGGAATCTCGCTGAACTTGTGAACAGCACGGAAGTACGTCAGACCATTGGTGGGTACCTCACGGAACTGAGCGCTGACTTCATCTAGGTTTAATTGTTGAATCGGCTTCCTCTCTTTCTCACGAGGTATATCCTTGACGTGCACCGTGGGTAGGCAGCTCAGATCCTCATTTCTCGCCTTCTCTTGGACTTCCAGCAGCTCCCGCTCGCGCTTCTCCAAGTATTCCTGGGCATCCTTTTCGCTAGGGAATTGCTTCGTAGTCTCAGAGATTTTTGATGCAAGCCGCTGACTTTCTTCCTCGGCCAGCTCCTCGCTGAAAGTCTCAGACGGGCGCATGGTGAAGGTAAGAGTATTCTCACTGAAGAGATACTTCTCGATCAAGCCTTCTAAATAATCACCCTCGGCATGCTTTTTCTGGAAAGCGTCGACAGTCTCTTGCCACGCAAGCGCATCCATGGGGTCGATGCCATTGAACCAGCCAGGCTTGAGCCTTTGGAGGATGCTCATGCCAAAGTTGGCAGTCTTGTGCTTTAGCGACAGCTCTAGCTGATGCAGGATGCCATCCACCTTGATCTTATCAAACCCATTCTTTCGCACCTCCGCAAACGTCTTGACGATAGCCTCGCGTACTCCAGGCACGTCATCGGCCTTGACGGCGTCCAATCCAACCGTAAAGACACCCCGGGTACCGGCGCTGTCATATCCCGTATTGGCACTGAAGTCTGCGCCCAGTCCAGATTCAATCAGATTGCGATATAGAGGAGACCCATAACCGCTCATGAGCAAGCTGCTAAGGACACCGAGACCAAAGTTCTCGACAGCATCTCTTGTGTCGCCCATTAACCAGGTGACGGATGTCTTGTACTGTCGGTCTTGCGGGACTAAGGGATCCAGGGGACCAGAAACCGTGACATGTTTGGGAGCATCCAGCGTGATCGGCCCTTTGATATCTTGCGTGACTGTTATCCTGTCGAAAGCATTCAACCGCTGATCGACCTCGTGCAGATGGCTCTCCAGGGGCATGTCGCCGTATGTCAGGATCTTCGCATTGCTAGGATGGTAATGGTCGGCATGGAACTTTCGCAATTGCTCCCATGTGAGGTCGGTGATCTTCTGGGGGTCGCCGCCCGAGTTGTTGATGGCGGGAAAGAGGTGCTCCTGGAATTTTGTGTAGAAGAGATAGCTTGCGTCCGACATTTGGCCCTTCATCTCGTTGTAGACAACGCCCTTGAAGACCAGCTTCTTCGCATCTGGGTCCTCCGTCTCTGCCGCCATTGGATTCTCAGGCCCTATCCGCCAGCCTTCTTGTGTGAAGTCGTTTTCCTTGAGAAGCGGGTGAAGGGTTGCATCGAGGTACACGGACATGAGGTTCTTGAAGTCCTGGACATTAGTCGTGGCGAAGGGGTATCCGGTGTGATCGGGGAAGGTCCAGGCATTCATGAAGTTGGAGAGCGTGCGCGGGAGCATCTTGAAGAAGGGGTCGCGAATGGGATATCTGGTAGGCTGGTCAGTCAAGTGCGCAGACAGCATCCTGCCTGGACTGGCCAAGGTTCACCCACTTCTGACTCCCACACAGCGTGGTGTGCTCGAGGATGTGTGGCACTCCAGTGGCGTCGGGGGGGTTCGTCTTGAAGCCAATGGAGAAGACATTGTTGGCGTCTTCGCGGGCAATGTGCAGGTAGTCGGCGCCCGTCTTGTCGTGCTCGAGGTGCAGTGCGGTCAATTCAAGTTCAGGCACCTGCTTGACGCGCTTGAGAGTGAAGCCATGTAGCTTCTCGCCCACGTTGGGGAAGCTGGAGACATGTCTGTTGCTGGCTGATGGTGGTGATGGCAGGAAGCTGGTTCTGTTGGCCGAGGCAACGTGCGGGGTCCTCAGCTGCCAGCGGGCGGATCGTAGCATGGCTTGTCGAGGGAGAGGGAGGGAAGGAAGAGGGGGGGAGGGGAGGCCGTGTCCGCCTGTAGACGTAATGGGCTACTTTCGCATACCAGAGAGTCGGGAATCAGTAAAAATGTCAGATGGAGTAGAGGCGGCGGCTCACGGTTCACGGCAGTTCATGACGCGCCCACTGACGCCGATTGGCCGCCGCCACCATAGCCAAGCACCAAAAGCACTCTGCTTAACCAACCAGCAAGTTGGCCTGCAAAAATTGACAAGAGGGCAGCAGCAGTGGTGGCAGCAAGTGGTGGCAGCAGCAGCAGAGTAGTAGCAGAAGCAGCAGTACATGGCATCCAACAGCCTGACTGTGCGCACTACCGGTACAGACTCACTACTGCTGGTACCGGTAGCAGCTTTGCTATGCGAGAGAGGGCCTTTAGATTCGTTTGGGCCTTTGTCCACAATTCTGATTCCTGGCCAGCCGCTGAAAAGCTGTCGTATCCATGATTCTCTATTTCTTGAAAAGA